GAAAGAGAGAGAGAGGGGGGAAAGAGCGAGAGAGGGAGAGAATCTATTCTGCAAGTATTTGCATTCAACTAATACCGCAAAGCCGTCAAAGGTTTGCAAATTTCATTTCGCTTCCAGCACAGCCAACGCACTTTGAGAGCTTTTTAGAAATAGAAATAGAAATAGATAAATATATACATATATACATAGTATACAAATATATGGTTTTGTATTCGTGAATAACTGTTGCCAAATGCCAGCAAGAACAAATAGCTTAGAATGAGTTGCAAAAGCATTGCAAAAACCAGAAAATGGCACTCAAAGCGGTTCATTAGGAAGATAAACGAGCATTTCCTTGGCAGACACACACACACACACACACACACACACACACATATTACAAATGAACTAGTTCGTTCGGGAACCAACAGACAATACTTGCACTTTGTTACTTCTGTTCTTTTTCTTCGCTCTCGTTCCCTCCCTCTCTCTTTTAAGTTCTGCACTTTGCAGTTTATAAGTTTGGTTTTTCAATTTATTAAGACTTAATCTTTTAATAACTTTTGCCAATTTAATGTTTATATCAATGATAGCCACAAAATGTCTGCCTTTAGATACGTTATCTAAGTTATTCATTAAGCCAACTTTACGGAAACTGTGTGTATGTGTGTGTGTGTTTGTGCGTATGTGTGTGTGTGTTTGTGTGTGTGTGCGTGGTTCCTTTTTGGCTTTTATCATTTTGATCAAATGAAAGTATTAAATTGTTCGCCTGCTTGTTGTGTGTTCGCCTCACGCAGCTTAATGCGCAGACACACCCACCTATATACACACACACACACACACCCACACACACACACACACACATTTGGGCGTAGGTTTGGCCTATTGTTTAGTCAGGGCATTAGACATGCTACATGCTACACACAAGTACGCAACGAGGTCGTTTTGTGGCACGTTCAACCATTAGACGAAATCATTTTCTTTAAATTTGGCATTTAATTGAGCGCAGTAAATAAACGTGCACTTAACGACAACATACCGAAGTTTGTATACCCTAACATATGCATTTATCTGGTAAGAAATGTAAAATATGACAATTCAATGGATCTTAGATTAAATCTTCCATTAGATTATCGTCGATTCTGCATTGCAAACTGAGAACGTTAATTCTTTAATGGGTTGACGCCAACTCTTCGCCAGGATCTTAAATATATATACCTTACTATTGAATTGTTTATATCCCACTTATATTCTGTTCAGTTGATTTATGACATTGTTTTAGTTCACATATGACAGACAGAACAAAATATATACTAACTTTACTCAAAGATCTCTAAAAATTTGTTTGAAGCCGATCGGACGGTAAGCCAATAATTTAATTAATTTCGACCTATGTCTATTTAGGATATTTGAGGGTAACATTTTTACATGAATTTCGACCAATAATAATGTTACAAGATTAAGATGCAGAATTTATCAAGAGACCAAACCACAAACAGAAAGCCAAATCTCGTGAAAATCGGATGGTTTTTGGTCGAGTTATGGGGGTTGGGAAATTTTGACCTATGTCTATATAGGATAATAGCGGGTATCCCCCGACCTTGCCCCTACAAAGGTCTTAAAGGTCTTCGAAAATGAGTTTGTAACCGAGAAATGAGTTTGAGCTCGAAACGTCACCAACGAAATCTTTGACCCTCATCTAAACTAAGCCCCAAACTAAACTAAGTCAATTGCAGGATAACTATACATAAATATATATATATATATATATATATATATATATATATATATATATATATATATATTAAGAATTCTTGACAAAACGCACATACCCGCCTCTGTGTGTGTATTTGTAGTGCCTGCTTTGATTGCGCGCTGAGCTCATTTGGAATTCTTTAAAAGGAATATTCACAGATGCGCTTACGGAGCCCAACAAACCGGGGCCTTAAATGAGGGCGAAATAGCCGAAGAGCAAGAGAGGAAGAGAGATGTGCAGCAAAATGTCATCGGGCATAACAGAAACGTTTTCAAAGCCAATTAGCTAATGTGCTGCACCTTTGTGTCTGTCTGACTGTCTGTCTCTCTTTCTCTCGCTTTGTTGCATACTTTCAGGCACTAAAAAAAAGTACGCATACGCAGAGTTGTGCAGCTGCACAGCGTGTGCATAATGCAGGCTTTTCTGCCACTTGCAGCTGCTATTGCAGCGTGTGCGGCAAGTGGCACACAGCCACTTCCGGTAAGCGGATGCGGATGCGGTTGCAGGCAGACAGCCACGCCTCCACCGGCCCACAGTCACGCCCATGCAATGCATTATTGTAATTTGCATTTTAATGCGCTGTTATTAGACAAAATGCATGACAAGTGATTCAATTAGCACAGCTCGAACACAACAATTGATGTAGCTGCGTGTGTGTGTGTGTGTGTGTGTGTGTGTGTGTGTATCTCTTGTGCATTACACAACACTGGGCTGCTGGGCTGTCCATTGACATTCAGATGGGCATTAAAGTCAATTGCAGGATAACGGAATGCGCCTTTTAATGATTTTCCCATTTCGATTTCCATTAGCATTTCCTGCATGCAACCAGTTGTGGCATGGATTTGCATGCTGCACGCTGCTGCACATGCATTTAAGCCTGTGGACTACAGCAACGGTCTTTTGCTGCATGCCACGTGCACAAATTTAATATTACAATTTTCATAAATATTCAGCAGGTGCCGGCGCACAACTTGTGTGTGTGTGTGTGTGTCCTTTGACTGTTGCACGTTTAGCGCGCATTTTATTTTGCAATTTTTTGCCCGCTGACCACAAAAACAAAGCCGGAAATTGATGGATTTCACGTGCGTGCCAAAATTTATTGTATTCTCTTAAAAATTTAACCTGAATTTGGCCAATTAATTAACAATTCCATTAGATCGCCAAAATTGCGTTTAATTAAATTGTGCATAATTATCGTTAAGTATATGCACACACACACACACACACTCGCGCACACACACGCACACACGTAATCAGCTTTTCAATGTAATTAATGAGTTTTTAGTTGAAAATAAATTTGCCTGTAATAATGTATCGAGGGCGCGTGGACAGCGGACGGGGGTTGCCTGCGAGGCTGAAACGTGTGGCTGGCATATTTTAAAATTTTAGAAATACAACAACATGTTTTCACATGCACACACACACGCACACACACAGTACACACATACACCCACGCGCGCACTTGGCAGCTGGCAACAGAGCTCATTAAATGCTTTACATGTGCTCATTTCACCTCTTCGCCCCAGCTAACATCCACCCAACATCTCCCCAACCAACCCTCCTATCATTCCTTAGCACAATTTTCTGACTCCCCACTCTCCGGTTCACATGTAATTTAATGCTCTGTCTTCGCACAAAAGTCAAGAGCAGCAAACAGTTTTCCATGAAAGTCTTTAATTTATGTAAATTTTGCGTGCGTATGCGTGTGTGTAAGTGTGTGTGCGTGTGTGTGCGTGTGTGTGCTGCGCGCCTCATCAATTTACCATTGACAGTACTCGCATAATGTATGCAGAGGCAACAATAATTTAAATAAAGCTTGACTTTTATAGAACAGCGGCATTGCCCCAAAGGAAAATGTCCAGCTGGAAGTGTTTCATAAAATACATTAATCAAAATATTTCTAGCGGTAATCAACTAAAGTTTGGCTGCTTTCTTGACACAATTTAATAGCTATGCCCGAAAAGCTATTAAATTACATTTGACAATGAAAAGTCGTACAGGAAATTTATAGGACAGAAAAGTTCTTTTCCGGAATTTGTGCTATTTTTCCAAATTAAAAATAAATGCCCCTGTTAAAGACTTTTCATATGAACAACTCAATATTTGCTTAATACAGGGTATATATCGGGGCTATATATTTTCGGCCCGAGGCATTGAAAAGTCAATTTCCGTCAGTAGCCGCCGTAATTAGTATTTAAGTTGATTTCGCACTCATTTAACGCTCCACAGAAACGCACAAATCCCTGCGGATAAGATCGAAACAACGTCAAGTCAGCGTGTAAATCGCTGTCAGGGATTAGTCCCAACTTTTGAGGGTGGTATTTGAAATAAAAAGAAAGAAAAGTATTAACTTCTTCGGGCCGCAAGCAAACAATTTTCATCAATATTCAATGTGGTTCAATGTGTGTCAGCGGCTGCCACATGAAATACCTTTTGTATTTGCCCATGTCCAGAGCTTACATATTGGTATGGGCCATGATTAATGAACTAGATAAATGATATGAGACCAAAACAAAAGCACTGATAGAAAGAGAGAGATTGAGCGAGTGAGAGAGAAATAAAGCTCAACGCCTTATCTTATCGAACATTTGAATGCACACCTGAACGAAACACAACTCATGGACTTACAACACGAATGAGTGCGCTGAGTGGAATGAGTGCGAAATTAATCTAAGCATATGTCGCGCAACTGTCCAACTGAATAAGGGCTAATGCTGAGAAATTGTGAGAGAAAGAGCGCTGGAAAATTCGAAATCAATATGTCAGCATTGAAAATATACAGAAAATCGAGTATTAATAATAATAATAATAATAATAATAATAATAATAATAATAATAATAATAATAATAATAATAATAATAGTAATAATAATGACAAAGATAATTATAATGATAATGATAATGATAATGATAATGATAATGATAATGATAATGATAATGATAATGATAATGATAATGATAATGATAATGATAATGATAATGATAATGATAATGATAATGATAATGATAATGATAATAATAATGATAATGATAATGATAATGATAATGATAATGAGAATGATAATGATAATGATAATGATAATTTTAATGATAATGATAATGATAATATTGATAATAATAATTTTAATAATTATAATAATAATAATAATACTTATAATAGTAATAATAATAATAGCGAACGTGAACCGAACCGGTTCGTACTGGAAGTTCCAATTGGTTTTTGCTAAGAACCAAACCCGAAGTGAACTAAAGATCTAGTTCGCCCAAATATTTTCCCAAACTTTTCAGCTTTGCTTTATTCATCGTTCGAGCACAGTTTGTGCTTGTTTCTCATTGTGCCTCAGCAGTTGCTCACTCATTCCAAAACCCTCAAGCTTTTTATTTCCAGCGATAAGATAAACCCCTATCTGCCATATCGAGTCGCAGTGTCGCAGCAAAAGAATTCAATAGCGAATCGTTGGCTCTTGTGCAGTGTGGTAGCCGAAACGGAACAAATCCAAACTTTCTGACAAATACGTACAGTATGACGCCCAGAGCTGCGTCAAGATTGAACTTTGCCCTCAGCCCAAAACTCCAGCTGTTGCTGCTGCTGCTGCTGGTGGGTTCATCCAGGCCGGAGCGCATCGATGCCAACGATGAGGAGGTGGATCGTTTTTGTTATCCCGCCGCGCATCGCAACACGCGTCTCTCTTGCGAGTGCAGCAATGTGAGTGCCGCGCCTTGGGGCATGCGTGCCCTGCACATTGATTGCAGCTACAAAGACTACAAGACGGAGGATCTAACCGAATTGCTGCCCCTGTATATCGACACCTTGGATCTGTCCTGGAACAAACTGAATCGTGCGCCCAGCTTTAATAGCGACAGCCTGCGTCTGCTCAATCTGATGCACAACAACATAAGCGCCATCGCGTCGAGCAACTTTGAGCGTGTGTCCAGCCTGCGGGAATTGTATCTGGGCTGGAACAGCATACAGCAGCTGGAGGCGCAATCGTTTGCCGGGCTGCCGCACCTGCAGGTGCTCAATCTGGCGCACAACAATCTGCACTCGCTGCCCGGCCAGATCTTTGCGCCGCTGCTGGTGCTGAGCACCTTGGAGCTGTCCTGGAACCGGCAGCTGAACCAGACCAACGGCCAGGAGCTGTACAGCAGCTATGGCATTAATCCGAAGCTGGACACACTGCGTCTGGATGCGTGCAATCTGAGCGAGCTGAAACTGCCGATTGATGCACCATTGCGTGAACTCTCGCTGCGACGCAATCTCTTCCAGCGTGTGCCCGGCCAGCTGCCTGCGGCGCTGCAGCGCCTTGACATTAGCGAGAATCTGCTGGAGAAGCTGCTGCCGCAGGATGCGGCCAATCTGACCCAGCTGCGTCAGCTCTATGTGGAGGATATGCCCCTGCTGCAGGGCATCGCGGCACACGCGTTCGCCCCGCTGCGCCAGGTGGAGGAGATGAGCTTCCAGAATAGTCGCCAGCTCAGCTGGCTGGATGGCGATGTCTTCGTAATGGAGAATGGCTATTCGGTGCTGCCGCCGCTGCGCATCTTAAGTTTTCGTGGCACTTTGCTGCGCAATTTTAATGTCACTTTGTCACCGGTTTTTAGGAAACTTACCCAATTGGATCTCAATGGTGTGCCGCTTTACTGCGACTGCCAGCTAGCCTGGCTCAAGGATCTGGCCATACAGACGAACGGGCGTTGCTTGCGTCCGGCCCGAGTGCGAGGCATGCTCGTCTCTTCGGTGCGTGACGATGAGTTTAGCTGCGAAAGATGGCCCCGATGGGCCTACGGATTGATCATCTTGGGCCTAATTGGAGTCTGTGCCGCGGGCGTTTATCTAATTGTGATGGGCCTGCGACCGCATCGCGGCGTCACAATGCGACGCAAAGTGGGGGCCGGCAGTCCCTATGCCCGTGTCACCATTGAACCCAATCGCCAGGAGAACCTGCACTAAGAACCTTTGTCATTTACGACTAGACAAGGCCCAATACTTAAGTCTGTGTTAATTTTTTCTATATTTATATATATGTATATTAAACTAAAGGAATGCTAATGCATATTTTATGAGACCAGGTGCTTATTCATTGATTCAAGTTGAGTCGTTGTTTACTCATGAATATTTGCTGCGTGGGCTGCTTTAAAAGTTTGCAAAACTCTGGCATTCGTTAACATTAGCTTAATATGTAAAGTAGCAGAGCGTTCGCTGCACGCTGTTAATAACATTGAGAGGCTTCAATTAACATCTGTTAAGATTGTTAATTACTTTTGACAATTTAAGTGCACGCTTCCTAGTTGTTAAAAGGGAACTTTTTACCAGCAAGCAAAACTTTAGGAACCACCCATTAGAAAAGATTGGAAGTTAGCTTATCTATTCCAAAGACTTATCTACGCCGTCGCTGAGTGTGGCTATTTGATAATGGTTCACAATTATTTGATTTTGTGTTCACAACGTAAACAATATGGCAAATGTTCAACTTTATTGAACGCTCTCAAAGAGCCAACTGAACTGAATTTACAATAAACTGTTGCATGATATTAGATCGAATAGCGAGCTCTACAAATATTTTATACCTCCAAGCTATCTGCTTATATAATACTTGGTAAACTGTCGAGCTATGTCTAAAAGGCTTAACAAATGGATTTGGCTGTCATAACGACCGCAAAGCATCTTGTTATTTATAAATAATTTTACCCTCGTGAGCTCCAGTCCAATAATATATTCAGCGATGCAGCGGCAGCATTTGTTGTTGGCTTCCACTGTGATCCTCGGCCTGGCCAGGATAACCGCATTGCCAAATTCTTGCTTGACACCAAGTGATAAACTTGAAGCGCCCGATTATTGTCTAGAACATCAGCCGCATTTCGCCTGCGAGAGCGAGGAAGTGAGTAAAATGGGCCTCTATTTTATCGGATTAGAGATCAGTTTCATTTAATATCCAGGAGTGGGCCGGAAAATGCGGCAAGCCACGAAAATTTATTGAACTGACGCCGGCATTGATTAGGCGCATTGTGAGGCAACATAATGTCTATCGCAACATGGTGGCAAAGGGCAACATGGCAAGGCTTCCGGCTGCGTCACGCATGATGCTAGTCGCCTGGGATCCGATTCTGGCTGATTTGGCCAAGCTGGCCGTGATGCGCTGCACAATAGATCCCATTGGGATGAGTTTGTCAACGACACAGGCCGCCAGGCCAGGCTACAATGCGGTCTTCAGCAAATATCCCAAGCATCAGCAGCAAGACGTACTCAAAATTCTAAACTCCCATTTGAAGGCCTGGTATGATCAGTACTATTATGTAAACTTGGAGAGCCTACTGACTGGCAAATCGGCCGGCGGGTGAGTAGGAAACGGATTAATTTCAAATCTAACAAATATATAGAATTTGAATTTCAGTCAGGATATTTCACACTTTCTGCAACTTATGACGGGTTCAAACACTCGCGTGGGCTGTTCCATAGCCAGCTTCCATGAGGGCCTTTGGAAATACCAATTGATGATCTGCCTTTATGGCTGCAATAAGCAGAAGGACCAATTCGCTTACCGCATTGGAAAAACGCCCGGCGATTCGTGCGCTTGCGGCACCGACAGGCAATATAAGAATCTTTGCCGGCCCGAAAACCACAATGGAGACTGCAGTCTTAAAAAAGAAGATGACGATGATATAGCCGGGCCAATAACGACAACAACAACGACAACCAAAAAGCCCAAAGAGAATTGCAAGCCGGGTACCATGCAATCTGTCCTTGATTGGCTATGGGGATTTTAGACAAGGTTTCGCTCAAATGTAAATACAAATAATGTGCATTGTAAATGATCGATGATAAATGTGGAAATTTCAACATTTCTATCTCAGTATATAAATAAATTACTTGATACTAACATATCTAAGTTAAAGAGTTGAAAAATAGATCGACTGATCATTTGGTTTTTTGTTTTTTATCACATATTCAACGATAAAATTGCCAATGCTAGTTAACAACCATAACAAATGCATTAAGCTGTTGATAAATAGTGAAACAAAACGCTCAAGAAGTTCTTTTAATGATAATGCTCCAATAAAAACAAAATAATTGTGAATATTTGATCGGAATACGTCAGATTTTATGCATAGCTTATGCAGGGTATGTTGGAGTGCGGATTAGAATATGAACAGGAGAGAGAAAACGAAATAAAATACGAGACTTGTAACAAATTGTTAATAAAACATTTGCTTGAGTTCATGAGAATCGCATAGAAAGGCAATATTTAGCTAAACGATTTTTAACATTTGTTCAGCCAAATATTGCCATTCCTTGCGATTCTCATGAATTTAAGCAAGAGTAACGCATTTTTGCTGGACTGCCAATCAATCAGGACACAGACAATTTATATATTTTGTATATGGTCTTTGTCGCTGAAGTGTTATATCGATCGCTTATAATTGCGAAACTGACGTCCAGCATTAATAATTGACGCACTCATTATTGTCATCGAAATTTATTTATGCGCATTCCCCGGTGCTCGACCAGCTCGTAAATCTTTTCAGCTGGCCCCCGAACTACTCTCTCATCTTCTCGCTTGCCGCCACGGGCACCTCTTGCATGTCCTTCTCATTCTGGCTAGTACGCACATTTATGGCCAAGAGTATTAAAAACTTTATTATTATTAATATTGCGTTTCATTCGCACACAATTGACTGAACTCTGGCCCAATGAATTGTATTTTGTTTGCGCTCGTGAGTGCCATTTATTGAATGCGATTCTTGAATTTCAATTGAATTTCATATGTTTGCAACCAAATATTTGTTAATCTGTGCACCAATTACAATTTCAATTACAATTGCAACATGCTCGAAACCAAAAATATTAATAAATTCAGTTGTATATTGTAATTCAATAACGAGAATTTTACTTAAATCCAATCGAAACTCTAGAGTTGAAATTTCTTTGTTGTTTTTTGCCATTTACATAAGTTAAGTGCGATTCCTCTTTTGAATCAAAAACCTAATATGAAGCATTTATTCTAGTTCTTAAATCAAGTATCTTGAATTCTTAAAACTTTCCCACTGTTAGCCTGCCTGGCGCCGGGTTACTCAGCTATTTAATTATGGCTAAGGCGCATTAAAATTCTTGAATTTAATTAAAATTCGAGCAGTGCTTAAAGGCAACAACTTGTTTAGACTGCTTAAGGACTTAACCATGAGCAAATTTAGAAAACTCTTTGCCATTTCAATTGATGACTAGCTTCGTTGCGAGCTGAGTTGAACACATTGTCGAGCAAACAATTGACATTTAAAATGTCAAATTTGATGCGTTTTTAAACCCAAACACAATTCAAACTGAGCGCAAACTTCAACGACAGTTTTTACGACGCTGCGACTGAGTGTGTGACGAATGTGTGTGTGTGTACGTTAGTGTGTGTGTGTGTGTGTGTGTAAGTGTGTGTGTAGCTCAAGCAGCCCTGGTTGTTTACTCCGAAATGGGCACAACTTACAATCTGAGCGCACAGTGGAACAGAATGGCATAAGCGAGTGTTAAATATTAAAGTGTGATACATTTTACAGGGTATAAGCAAACGATTTAGAACAATTTATACATATATATATATAGATAGTTAGCATATACTATATAGAGACTACCCATCCCTTCAAAATTGCTTTTTAATTTTCTGAAAAATATGTACATGTAATTTGCATTGCATGACAGACAAATGTTTGGCATATGGCATATATATGGCAGACACTTACCCATACTACATGGCATAAGCAAATGATATAGATCAATAGATATATATAGATAATTATACTATGCTTCCTTTCTAAATTCCATCAGACTTCTTTAAGCTAATTTCTGAAAAATATTTGCGAGTAATTTGCATTGCATGACATACATATGTTTGGCATATGGCATATATATGGCAGCCACTTACCCATACTACCCAGCCCCCTCTCTATGCCCCACTTTCTTCTGTGGCCTCTCTGTGGCGCGTCTTTAGTACGCGCTCACGAGGCATGCGCCGTGGGCGGCTGTGCTAGTGCCCCAGTGCCACGAGTTGCATGCACCGAAACGAGACGCGAATCCGAAAAATGAAATGAAGTAAGTGGCACGAATATTGCTGGCAGCAGCTGAGGCAGCATCATTCAGATTCATAATTTGCCACAATCAGTTGAAGGCAGCACGCCAAAGGCAGCGCACGCTTACGCTTACGTCACGCTTAACGCATCTAACGGTATTTTGGTTTACGTTCTCAAGTGCTTACGTTTCGCGGTTGTCCGAGTGTGTACTTTGGTTGTGCGTGCATATTGTGTGTGCGTGTGTGTGTGTTGCCAGTCAAACAAGTTAGCCTCAAAGTGAGCGCGGTTAGCTTTAGGCCAGGTTAATTGCGCACCCCCCCCTCCTATTCCCCTGTCCATTGCCAACACAGGCACAATTAGCCATTTAAATGGCACCGACAATTGCAAGCTGTAAAGCCGCTTAGCTTTCCATTTTGGTTGTTTATCAATAAATTATTATGGCCTAATGCCAATTGACAGCTGAAGCTGCGTAAATAATATATTGTAAAAATCATTTTGGGCCAAAACAGAACAAAAATAATAAAATGCACTCAAGTTCTCAATTTCTTATCATCGAAGCACACAATTCCCTGGCGTCCGACGTTGGTTTCCCATTTGGGGAACTGGCAGCAGCTCCTGTCAATTTATCAGCAGGTTCTTATAATCGTAGAACCAGGCGCATTGTTAAAATATGGCAAAGATTCGTGAATGTGCTTTAAGTTAAAGTATTTATAAAAATATTTAAGGACTGGTGAATTTGAGAACTAATGTTTCAAATATCTTTTCATAAGTAATTATTTTATATAAATACAAATTTTTAGCTACATTATTATGGAGGTCTTTAAGTTTCTTTCTCCAAGTTCCTGAATATAATATATTATGCATAATTTTCTCATGTATTATATCATATATATTTCAAATAAATTGCTCGAAAAGCTTGCATGAGCCTAAGATTCTAGCTAGACATTTCCCTAGTCTCCATATCTTGAACAAAAATCAAAATTACTTCAATTTAAACAATAAAAGACGGAACCCTAACGGCTATTCCGATATCCGAAGTGCCTTAGATGAAGTTTCATCAAATATCATATAATAAGTTTTTCTTATAACCGAAGGCTATTAAGATACTTCTGAGCATTCAAGATTTTTTCTGATAAAAATCAAAGCTTGAAGAGCTTTTCTTCGAGTAACTACCAAATATTACGAGTTATATAAATATAATCAACTTATGCTCAGAGCTGTCTAAATATGTTCGATACCTTATATTGCAATTTTTTACAAACCTTCCGATATTCTCGGCCCATATTCAAGTGCAGCAAAACTGACTTTGATTTTGCTGTATGCAGCTTTTCTTGCTTATTTCTTATTTCTTTTCCTTTGCTTATATACAGGCTGTTTAATATACTTAGACTCTTTTTATATATGGAACAACTTGATAGTCATCGTATTGTGTTTTCTTTGGCATTATGTTGAACGCATTTCGCGTTTTAATATTATCCCCCATTTTGCATTTATCAAATATTCAACGTTTATACGCATTCGTGAGTCCTGTGCTGGCAAATCTCTGCGTGCGCCCTTCTTCTTCTTGCTGGCGCGTCCTCGTCCGCAGGTCCTTGGCGACTGGCGGGCGGCTTTGATGTTGAGCTTAGCCCCAATGCCATGAACGTGTGTACATATATTGAAAATGTGGCCAGGCTGATACAATGTACACACACACACACACACAGGCAGACAGACAGAGGCATAAACATTCAGCTGGCTGACTGCCTGATTATCTGTGCCAAAAAAAAAAAAAACACATACAACAGCAGCACGATTGGCGCTGAGGAGCCTACAAAAACAATATAAACTAAAGTCAATTCGGGCACTGGGAGAAGCAACGCAGCCAGATCCGATTCCATCTCCGGGACACAGAGTCAAAGTCATGTTTATATAATGCTGCACAAAGCAACTATTAACTGGGCTGCCGAGCTGTGCGTGGGGCTGCCTGTTCCGGGTCTCTGTTTGTTATTTATTGTAATGCCAAAACAGCCATAACACTTCCCCGTGCCACCATCCACCCGTCGTGCTTTCGAGCAACCACAGCGGCCATTAGATTTAATAAAGCAGCGCCTGGTAAGAGTCAGACGATATCAGTTAGACGCCCAGTTACGGGCATAATTATTTGACTGTCTGACAGGCGCGGCACTGTCGCCCGCAAAGGCACCTCATGACACGAGCCGAAAGTGTCAAGATGAATCTTGGCTGCGTATAAGTGCGTGAAGTGATATCCATAAAGTTGGTAGTAATTATTTCAGCGCATCTGCTGAGCTTTAACTTGAACAGCTTAGAAAGCTCATTAAAGCTTTAGCTCGATTTTAGTGCAGCAAATGCAATTGACAGAAAGCTTAAGTATAACTATTTTCATTGGCATGATAACCGAAGAAAAGCTCCCTTAAGCTTTAAGCGACTTAACTGTCTGAATATATGACTTGGTTAAACATTTAAAAGCCTCTTACAAAGCTTATAAGGTATATTTTTAAGTTAATTAAAGCTTATATTAAAAGCTTCTTTCCGTGCAGGTAATCTGCCAATCGCTTGACAAACGCAGGTATTTTGAACAACAGAAGCCCATTCGACAAATAGTAAAAATAACGGCACTTAAGTTAGACTGCCATTAAAAGTTTGCAAAGCTCATTAAAGCTTAATCCACTAAAATTACGCTTAACACAATAACTATTTGATGCTATTTAGCACTTATGCAAGTAGTTAAGCTATTTAGAAAATTTCAACTCTGCTGTTGGATTAATCCAATTAAGAGTAGCTAATGACATTAGATCTTCATTAGCAGTTGGCACAAATGCGCCTAATGAAAAGTGCGTAAAAAATGTTGTAGAATTTACGCAGTCAAAGAAAATGGGAATTGAGCTCAGCTGTCGCCAACAGACTCATTATACTTATTATCACACCTGTATTCCCGCACACACGCACACACACAAACACACACAGCCGAGCAATTGTCAAAGGCGCGCACAACCAAAAAAGCACATTTACGACAACAACAGCAACAGCAACAACAACAACTGGTCCAGCGCAATGCAAAGTGAGAAACGATAAGCGGGAGACAGCCGAAGTGAAAGAGCTGAAGGAGCTAAGGAACTGGGGCTCTGCAGGAGCAAGGACAGCCGTAAAACGACGAGGACATTAACTTCATTTACGTCTCGCCACAGTTGAAATAAACGACTTTACGACACTGGCGGATTTGCTAAAAAGTAAGTTGAGCCACGCACCAAGCGACCCGCTGCCCCCCCCCCCCCCCTACCATACCACCCGCCCTTGCAATCGCCCAAATGGCAGCTGGCCAAGCGATTTCTTTGCCGCATTTCTTGTATTTTTTTCCTCAGCTTCTTTCACCTGCCACAGGCTGCTGTTCATTAACGCCAGGCGAAGCGGAGCTATAGCTGCGCAGGGGCAGGGGCTGAATAATGTTAAAAAGCAGTGCCAGCTGCCAGCAACAACAACAACAACAACAACGAGAACAACCTGAAACGAAGTCAACTGAGTGACTTCCGGAACGCGGCGCCGCTGATGGTGACCGTTGTGCCGGATGTGCCGAGTGTGCAGGTGTGTGTGTGTAGGTGTATGTATTTGGGTTTGAGTTCGCGTTCGAGTTGGGCAAATTCCTGAAATTCGCTTTGTTGTTGGCCGTAAATGCTTGACATTATTGCAATTTGCTGTGCGTGAGGCAAAGTATGCAGTCAACAATTTATTTGTTGCGGGCCTAAAAAAAAAAGGAACTCGAAAAAAAACTCAATTATCACGTAATATACCAAAAAAAAATTTGAGAATAGATCTGAACTAGTTCCAAATGTTCAAAACGATTGGGAACTGAAAAATGAACCGGTTCAGCAAGTGCCAAACATGTAAAAAGTGCGAATTAACAATCCCAAGGGAAATATCTATTCGCAGCTTATATCTAGTCAAATTCAAATTGGGAATTTTGAAGGAAATCTAATTTCCCTGTATATTCTACAAAACTTATTAGAACTCGAAGAAACATTCATTAAATTTACACGAACTTTGCATAAAATGAACAAAATGCATTTATTTTTATGATAAATAGAATAATGTATAAATAATTTGGGAATTTCCATTCGCATGGGAAATTAAGTACTTTATGCATTCCCAGCTCGAAACTACCAAAATTTCAAATTGGGAATTTTAAAGGAAATTTAATTTCCCTGTATATCATACAAAACTTATTAGAACTCGAAGAAACATTCACTAAATTTACACGAACTTCGCATAAAATGAACAAAATGCATTTATTTTTTAAATAAATAGAATAATGTTTAGAGACTTGCGGCATATACATTTTAGCTTAAGGCCCTTTAAAAATCCGTTGAAATATTCTATTTCTAAGCCCTGCACTGTTACTCATGCGCCGCCCGCATTTAAAAGCCGCTTGTTGTCATTTTGTTGCATATTTTGCGGCTGCGCAGTAAGCGAAACTGATGCACAAAATGCATTTTGCCTGTTCGCCTTTGGCAAATTGCCGCGGGCACACACAAATCACGCAACGCCCGCATCGTGCCACACACAACAAGCGGCAGCAGTTGGTGCATAAATGAGCAAGGGGTAAGGGGGCGGGGCACAACAACTGCTGCTGCTGTTGCTGCGGCAGTTGGCAGGTGGCATTAAGGCAGCTTAGTGCTGCGAAAATAGAAATATTAAAAGCTGCTACCTGACTGCCACATGCCACATGCCACATGCGCGCAACGTAACTGTGACCATGCAACCAAAAAAAATGTCACACAAATATGTGGCACATCCAGAAGGTGCCCCCGCAGCAGCACAACAGCCATCATCATGGTTGCCCGAAAAGGATTTATGCTTTGCAGCAGAAGCAGCAGCAACAGCACTTTTTATGTTATGACAATGACAGGCACAAGCACACATACACACACATGCACACACACACAAACACACGCAAACACACACACATAAACAAATTTATGCTCGGCCTGGCTCAATGTGCATTAGACAATAACAATGATGCCCTGTAGTCATGGAATTTTATAGAGGGAGTATTAGATAGTTGAACATAGCTTTTTACATCAAGAGGGAACCTTAGATAAATTAGATAAGTTTAATATATATATATATACACTATATTGAGTATAGTAACGATATAGTATATATGGATCTCGATACATGCCCCACTCCCATCACAAAACAATAGTAATATAATATCGTATAATATCATAATAATCTTTAGGGTATATCGTATCATATCATATCATATATCATATCATATCATATCATATCATATCATACCATATCATACCATACCATACCATACCATATCATATCATATTATATCATATCATATCATATCATATCATACCATATCATATCATATCATATCATATCATACCATATCATATTATACCATATAATATCATATCATATCATATCATATCATATCATACCATACCATATCATATCATATCGTATCATATCATATCTTATTATAATATCATACCATATCATATCATATAACGTATCAGAGACAAGTATACGTATTGCATATACAACAATATATTAAGGAAATCAACTTTTATGTATCATAATATCAAAACATATTAGTTATATCATATCATACAGTATCATAATATATGATATCATATGAATTGACCATAAGAACTACAATTTTTAAGCTATTTCCAAGATTTTTGGCACATAAAGCAGCTAGTTTACATATTCTTTAACTTTCCGCACGATCATTTCATTGAGAACATTTAAGATATTGTTTTCCAACTCTCCCACTCTATTCTTAGCTATTCTCAAGTTCATCAAACCCCTCGGTATTATGACCATTTATTATTTATTGCAACTGCCGGCTGCAATAGGCCACAGTCCGTGGCTCGAACCAGCCGAAACCACAATCTGACTGTGTGCAAAATGCACTCGAAAAATGTTGTCAACCAGCTGCTGGCAACATTTGAAATGTGTTTGCATTAAATAGAAGCCCCGACTAAATAAAATTATGTTGATTTTGTTGAGCACGTGGCCACACAACTCGAGTTGAGTGTAAAAATATACTTATGCTTATGCATGAAAGCTTGTGCAGAAACTTGCCTCTCAAGGATGCTTCAAATTATGCTCTGTTCCTTCAGCTTCGCCTTCGCTTTAAGTCATGTCTATATATATATATATATATATAAATATGGGCTTATAGTGCTCGGTACTTATTGAATGTGAAACTTTAGGAGACGTTAACAGGACTCGCGCACGCTTTTATACAATTTATATAATAAGCGGAAAATAAAATGAAGAGGAAGCAGCCGCAGCAACTGCCAAGTTCTTCAAGTCAAATAAAATGCTTAAAGCAACGTATACAAGAGAAACAGAAACAAAAACAAAACAATTTCTGGCAAGCATGTGAAAAGTGCCGCAGTTGACAGAGATGAGCAGGGGTTACGGCTTAATGCCAGCTATGCGGGCTTAAATCGAGCATTTTTGTGCATTAAAGATACTGGCATATATATAAGAAATAAAGAAATACTCCAGAAATAAGGAGATCTTATCATTTCCGAAACAGATGATTGGCGTTTTGGGGCAGAAATTCTCAATATTATAAAGTTGGATTGTAGTACAGAAAATTTTCCAAACATAAAACAATGTCCTCTAACATACGGACAGACAGACTGAGTGACTTAGTGATTGATTGACTGACCAACTGACTCACTGACTGTCTGATTGAGTGATTGATTGGCTGACTGACTGACTGACTTGCTGATAGACTGCCTGATTGACTGATTGATTGACTGACTAATTGATAGACTGACTGATTGACTGACTGTTTGATTGACTGACTGACCAACCGACTGACTGACTGACAGATTAATTGATTGCCTGATTATTTGATTGACTGACTGACTGACTTCCTGACGGATTAACTGACTGACTTACTGACGGATTGACTGACTGATTGATCGATTGTGATTAACAAACGTCATTTAAAAGCAATAAAATAAATAACCTAAGGCCAGAATAGCTACTGCTTTATATATATATATATATATAGCCTATACTTCTAACCATAAGAATATATTTAAATATATATATATATATATATATATATATATATATATATATATATATATATATATATATATATATATATATTTATTTATTTATCTATTCTCCATACTGCAGAGTTTTCAAAACTATGGTTGTCTATCTTTACAAACAATTCTTTATAATAATTGTTTTCAACTCTGCTATTAGCTTTTAGATGTTTCTATTGCTTACAACTATTCATTCATATAGGCATGTCCTGTATGCATATCCTTTATATTATTTATTTCTGATACCATTGATCACGCGCTCATCTTTGCTGCGGCACGCCCCAAACACACACACACACACACATATGTATGTACACATGCACACACACACATAGCAAATGTTATCACATCGTGTTTATCGCAAGGACGCAAGTAAAGGACGCGTAGCTGGATTTCTGCGACAATTCCCATTGTGGCAAAAAATGGTTAGTGTCGAGCGTTTCTTGCTTTTGGCTTTGCCATGTTGACGTCCCGACCCCCCCCCCCCCCCCTCTCCCGACCACATAGACACAGCCCAACTTCCACCCCCCTCTTATTGTTATTGTTGTTGTTGCGATGACGCCGTTTTGGCTGTTATTATGCTTGGCATTATCATTGTATCGTCCTTGGCTCTCGCCCCGCGCAGCAGCCGCAGCTGATTTTGGCAATTTTTATTGTCCAAGTTCTTGGCATGCGGGGCGTTAAGGGTTGACACTGGCTTGCAACTGGGCCAGGATATGCTTGGCGTCTGGCGGTCGCGGCGCCAAAGTTTTTTTTACGACCTCTGTCAGATAGAAGACGACCCAGACTACCCACGCTTGGGTCTATGTAGCTTGCCAGGATTGATTGATAAGCTTTTTGTAAACACTAGCAAAACAGTCAAGATGTCCTGGCTGCTGTTGTTGTTGTTGTTGTTGATGTTGCCGACGCGTTTGCGCTTAGATTTGCAGAGATTACGCATACGTCGCGTTGGCTACCGCAGTTAAATGTTCAAAAGGCAACGCAAAACCAGCTGAGTTTTCAGTTATCCTTGCTGCAGCAGCTGCAAGTCTCCTGACAATGACATTAACATGCTGCACGTGCTGCTGCTGCTGGCCATAAAAACAACAAACAACAACGGGAACAGCTTGCAAAGGTTGCCAATAAAAAAAAAAAGTGCG